TTAAAGGGTTTAGGGTTTAGGGGTTGTTCGGTTTAGGAGGATTCGGGGTAATTTAGGGGCTTATAGGGGTTTTGCATTTTAAGGTTTACGCAGATTTGCCGAGCCCTTCACACCGAACACCCTTAACATCCCGAAACCCTCAATCCTGAAATCTGAAAGCAGAACCTGTAACTCTCTTTACCTACAGCTTAGCAGCCATTACCCTTAGTTAGTAGGTAGCAGCCATAAAACTGTAGGTCCCTAAACCCTAAACCCTAAACCCTAAACCCTAAACCCTAAAACCCTAAAACCCTAAACCCTAAACCCTAAACCCTAAACCCTAAACCCTAAACCCTAAACCCTAAACCCCCTAAGGCCCAGGCCTGAACACCAAATACCGTACACAGTAAACCCGAAAAAGCAGAAAAACCTAAACAAACAACCGAAGATCCTTGCTAAGGCCCTAAACACCAAATACCGTAAACCCTAAACCCCAAAAAGCCGAAAGCCCTAAACAAAACAACCCAAGATCCCCCATTTGCTAAGGGCCCCAGCTGATTGGACTGCGGCTCCACAAAGACTGCGGCCGTCAAGGCCGGAACAACCAGCTCGTCGGTGGCCTTGCATTGCTAGGGCTGGGGTTTGGGGTTTAAGGGTTAAAGGCTTCGGGTCTAGGACATTATGGTTTTGGAAAGGGTGTAAGGTCCAGGCGTTTTAGGGGGGTTGTTTCGGCTTTACGGGTTTGGGATGCCAGGTGTTGTTTCGGGCTTAAGGGTTGTGGACCTTAAATCCCAAATCCCCAAACCTGAACCCTAAACTCTAAACCCTGAACCCTAATTAAACCCGAAACCCTGAACACTAACCCTGAGCCCCCAAAACCCTAAACACCCCGAAGTTAATGTTTGGGTCTGGGGTTTACTTACTTCCCCAATCAGCCAGGGAAGTAAAAGGTTAAACTTTCAGATTACTACTAAATTGTAAGAACCCAACAAATTTAAAGGTTGGGTATGGGGGAACTAAGTTTAGGGTTCGGGGTTTGGGATGCTTCCGGGTTTTCGAAGAACCCTCTAGGCCTCTTCTTGTTAAGTACCTACTTAGAAAGCTTTAGACGTCTACCTGCACCTTGTGAAAACTACTTTCTTTGTCGCTCCTTATTACGATTCCCGCATAGTATCAATAGTTTCCTTGCCTGCTGGATAGGGCGGTTAGGGTAGAGAGAGAAAAACCAGGGGATCATACCCTGCAACTTTAGGGTTTAGGGTTTAGGGTAAAGAGTTTAGGGTTTAAGGTTTAACTTTAATAGGTTCTGGGGCGGCAGGTAGGCCTCCAAACCCTCGAGCCCCGTCACCCGCCTGAAACAAACCCAAACCGTCAAACCTATGCCAACTGCTTGGAGTTCAGGGCGTCTTAAGTTTTGGGGTGCAAGCTTGATGGCATGACCCGAAAGTAATGGGATTTAGGGTTTAGGGTTCATCAGATGGGCCTACACCACATGACCCAAAACCCCAATGACTACGTCCCTTTTTCAGGAAGTACATATCGAGATCCTAGTAGCAGGTGTGAAAGGATAGGTAGGCTTTTGGGGGACACGATGAGCACTCCTCCATCCTTATGTCCCGGAGATTCCCACAGTGTGAAGACGGTATTGCGGTTCTTTGCGCAGATTTCGACGTCCATGCACAAAACCGTTGTCCGCGATCGCAGTGGAGTCGCATCTGGGCGTCCTCCCATCCCCAGATTATTCCTCATCTCTTCGACTACTTGTAAGGTGTCGGTTTTCATGCTGTCGTTCGCTTCTGGGTTGTCGGAAAGGTCTCCACCGTCCGTCACCAGTGTTGCAGCCACAAGCAAGGTAGGGTCCGGAAGATGAGAACATGTTTGCAGGTCGCGCAGATGGTACATCCTAGAGTACATTCTCAGCCACACTTTGGAGTCCAGCTTCACATGCGCCTTCAAAGCAAGCCCATGGCATTCTGAGTCACTGACTGCAAACGAGCGATGCGAGGTAAACCCTAAACTCTACACCCTAAAACCCTAAACCCCAGACCCCACAGACTAGGCCATAGAACCCCCTAAGGGCTCATGTGCTGAAACAGTATTTGGCCCTCACGTAACTATATAGGGACTACTTCAAGGCCAAAGTATATATATATATATATAACCCTAAACCCTAAACCCTAAACCCTAAACCCCAAACCCTATATATACACACACACTACATGACCGCATGGACCCTTACAAACAGAGGAGTAGACTCAGCAGACCTCCGACCCTGAAACCCAAACCTTGAGCTGCCCTAAACTCCTGCACTTTACACTAGGGTTTAGGGTTTAGGGTTTAGGGTTTAGGGTTTAGGGTTTAGGGTTTAGGGTTACACTAGAAACCCTAAACTCTAAACCCTAAACGGCCCTAAATCCCTAAAGACTGCAAAGCGCCCTTCGTAATACCTTTACGGCCGCTTCAACGCAGCCTCGTCGTAGCGAGCTTCCCGGGTGCGCATATCCGCCGAAGCCACCTGCTTGCAGGTTCCCTCTGAATTAGAAGTGTCTAGGGTTTAGGGCTTTAGGGCTTTGGGGTTTAGTGCTTTAGGGTTTAGGGCTTTAGGGTTTAGGGCTTAGGGAGGCCCCAGCAGGTTCACTAGGTCACTGCACAGATTACAGGGCTCACCCAAAAATCCAAGACCCGCGAGGGCCGTGCAAGGCGCCCTTCCCCAGTAGTCCGGATAACCCCCTTAACCCAAAACGCCCTAAAACCTTAACCGGTGACATAGGGGCCTTAATAATCAGAATA